AAGATTAAGAGTCCCTAATTAAATCAACAATATAAAAAAGAAGATGTGGTATGATTGCCAATGAGACAACTCTCCACAACAGACCAAATGACACAGAAATTAACAACTATAGGTCACCGTACGGCCTTCAACAATGAGCAAAGCCCATACCGCTCAGTCAGCTATAAAAGGCCCCGAAATGACAATGTAAAACAATTCAAACGTGAAAACTAACGGCCTAATTTATGTACAAAAAAAGAACGAAAAACAAATATGTAACACATAAACAAACGACAACCACTGAATTACATGCTCCTGACTTGGGACAGGCACATACATACAGAATGTGGCGGGGTTAAAAATATAAGCGGGATCCCAACCCTCCCCCTAGCCTGGGACAGCGAAATCTGTTTTTTTTAATTTGTTTAAACTAAATAAATAAATAAAATAGTTAAACAAAAATATCCTTTTTTGTGTTTTCTCTTTTTGTAACAATTTATTTGTGTAGTCTTTAACTGGATTTTATGAACCATTTAGACAACTATCCACCAAAGACCAAATGACGTGGATGTAAGCAATTACAGGTCACAATACGGCTTTCAACAATGAGGAAACCCCGTACTGTATAGTAAGCTAAACAAAAAGGCCCCGACATGATCAAATGTAAAACAATTCAATAAAGAAAACAAACAGCCTGTTTTATGACAAAATAACAAACGAAAACAGATATGACAGACGGCAAACAACGACAACCACCGAATTATAAGCTTCTGACATATGACTTGCACGTACAGAATGTGGCGGAGCTAGACATGTTTGCAAGCGCTTAAGCCTCCCCTAACAAGGACAGTTGTGTCAGCACAACTTAAGAACACACTGTAATAAACTGTTGGCACAGAGATACGAGCAGAGATATAACTTGCCTGTGTGAAATTTTGATAGTAAAATGCAAATTATGATATTAAAATGGCAATACTTTAACATGTTAACTATGCAAAACATCCAAAGTCAATTAACCATAACTGAAGGTTCAGGGCCAAATAATCTCCGAGGAAATGAGATATGTCAATGCTAATACAACTGAATACCAAATATTATTGACTTATCATAAGTGGTGCCCCTCTAACTTACCGTTCAAAAATTCCAAAGCAAAGGAATCATGACTGAAGGAGAATGGCTATAAATAAACTCTCCATGGAAATGAGATGTGATAATGCTGATACAACTACAAACCAAATATCATTGATATACCATTAGTGATTCCCCTCAAAATTGGTAAAAAATATCATTTAAGGGTAACCGTTCTAATACGGAGTCCTTTGAAAACTTTCTATCGTATCGCTTATATGTAGATTTTGTCTGGCTGATCATTTTCAATTTTATAGTTTTCAAGATGATTGTTGAAAGAGAAAATGTGTTTAATTGCAATTCAATCGAAGTTAAACTTATTAGGAGTCAAATGATGATTTTGGTCGTGTAACTTATTGGCAGATACTGCATTGATGATCATGTTGGCTCTTCATTAACAAAAATTATCCTTTAAAGTCTTCAACATAATAGTCCAAACTCGAAAAACGAGGAAAATATTCGTCATTTAAGGGAAATAACTCCTACAAATGTAGTTGATTGTCAATATCGGTTATATTGACTTATTTGTAGATCTTATTTTGCTCGTTGGCGTTTCTATCGAACTATTTGACCTATTAAGAAATTTTGTCTCGCTAGTCATTTTAATTTTCTATGGATCTATAATCGTTTCAAGGTTAGATGAAAAAAAAAAGGTCAAAATCGTCATTGAATGAGAACAACTCCTTTAAGGAGTCTACTGACGATTTCGGTCATTTGACTTATTTGTACATGTAGATTTTATTTTGCTGTTTAAAATTTCTTTCCAACTATAATAGTTTTCAAAATTAAAAGTTGAACCGCAAAAGAAAGGTGAACATGGTCGTTTAAGAGCAATAAGTCATAAAAGGAGTCAAGTGAAGATTTCTTCCTTGTTTACTTATTTGTAGATCTTGTCTTTCTGATAACTTTTTTTTGTATTTTTCAGTTTCTCTCTATCTTAAAGTTTTGAAAATAATAGCTCAAAACACAAAAAAATGGTAAAAATCGTAATTTGTTTTCTGACAATTTTGGTAAAAAAAACATTTTGTAGATCTTGAAATTCTATTGCATTTTACCCCCATTCCATATTTTTAACCATTCAGAGGATGTTGGTTGATTGGCAGCGAAAATCACAATCCTTAAACTAGATACCAAAAAGAACATTAAGGTGGTACCCAACACCTTGACTAATATTAATTTGGCTCGTTCAATTTTCATAAAATTTTGACAAAATGTTTACTTTGACCCTTTGACAAAAATATAAAAAATTCAAAAAATTTGAACCAACCACTTTATCAGAAAAATTTCGTTGGTTATATAGCAGTTTGACAAACACTAATTTTGATCATTGAGAAGCTTAATATTTCCTTAACAATACAACGTAATTAAAACGTTTAGTTGATTTTTACAGAGTTATCTCCCTGTAGTGTTAGGTACCACCTTAAGTCAAATTGGTACAGTGGTTTCAGAGGAGGTTTTGAAGGTACGTCGACGGCCGACTACGCCACCAAAGTGATGGCAACAGCTAATGTTGTCATAGACCAGGCGAAATGGAGTTCTAGTAAATGTCATTTTGCTAATTTGATTTTATTTCTACATAAAAAGGAACAAGTCAGTGTTGAAGACTTTGTAAATAGGAGAATGAACTATGACTATTCCGTTCGTGTCGTATGTATGTTGGGTCATACCACATCTCCTTATTTTATTTTGACAGGGGAGAGATGAATAGATGAAATCATCGTACAGGCACTTGTCTCTTTTTCCCCCTATAAATCTTTATATAACACATTAAATAAAGGTGTATCAGTACAAAGAAAATTCAGAGACAAGTGCATGTAAACTATCAACAGTAAACTATCAACAGAAGTTAACGTAACTAACAAACGATAAGAGTTGCATAACATACTTCAAACTTTCCATACATTTTCCATTTACACCAAGATGTCGTTCGTTAAATGAAATTGGATACCAGGCATTTATCATGCTTTTCAATAACATATGGTCAAATCGCTGAATACCCTCCCTCCTAAATTATTGAAAACTATTATTTTGCATTGGCAATACTATCTTGGAGTAAATTAGATACACCCATTCGGGCTTACACCTTCAAGGTGCAACTAATACAAAGATTTTATATTATATTATGTAAGATAGTCAACAATTTTTATGACAGTGATTTATTTAAAACTGTAATACGATATGTCATGGAATGCACATCATATTCAGAAATTATATTTTGTTTATGAATCTGATATCTAAATGTAACAAACTTTCTTAAAATTGAATTCGTACTAGTATGACTTGCAAATAGCCATGAAATTTAACATGCAATGAATTTAATAAACAACTGTCATAAAGTGTGCGGTTTAGCTAGCCATCATTGCCTGTTCTCAGTCAGGAATTTTGAAATTTGTTTTCCATTCGTTCCGTAGATTGATATATTAGAGCTTTAAGTTTTGTAAGGTTGTATGGTGTTCTCCCTTTTTATTAGTTGACCTTGGAGTGCGGTATTTTTGTTTATATTTGTTAAAGCAGTCGACAGATAATGCATATGATAATTACATTCATTTTTCAGTTGTGTACTTTAAATAGGAAACTATAAAAAATGTAGTTAACAAACATGTTTTCCGTAACTTGATGTAAATTAACCATCCTTAAAAGCAAATTAATTTGTGTTTGTTTAATGAATATGTATGGCAAAAAAAAAACACCAATAATATAGTAAGTAACCTGACGACACAAGTTCATTTAACAAAAGACCTGTGATAATATTACATAATAGTTTTATCAATACTTTATAATTAAGAAATTTACCATTTTTTTTAATAATGATAGCAATACAATTTGAGCTCGGAGTTGGAATAGGTTAGGTCCAGTTATGAATCATGTCTTTTCGCGAGTTATTCAGTTTACTTTGTGAGCTTATATGTTGAAAAATCATTAAAGCAAGAGTCGGTATAGTACAAAGCCGGATATATTCAAAAGTACATTAACAGCAACGTTTATGTAAAACACCTATCGATAAATCATTCTCTTCAAATTTCACGATGAAAATCCTATCCTTCATTGCGTCTAGTATTATATATATATATATAGATAAAAAAAAAAGTTTCTTTACAAAAAAAAAACCAAACTATCCGTTAATAAAATACCGTTCAGTCAGAAAAATACTGCTCGGAAATTTGCCGATGCAGGATTTGTTACCTAGTTAACTAGTTTCAGCTATAACCAGCAGATTTTAAATGTCAGAAAACAAACTCATTGCCAAAAATGCTAAATGACGAAACTGGCCGTCCTAAATTAGAGTCCTTGTTTGGCGAATAAAGTATAGATCTATATATTTTATGTAATATTTTCTTTTACAACTACAACTGAAATCTTGATTGTTGTAAGAAGCTTGTTAGTGTCCAGATAGATATAATCCCCCTGTCTTTGTATTTGTGTGTTTTTTCTTTTTAGAAAGTTTTGGTGTCTTTACCTTTTAAATGGTGATTGTGTCCAAGAACAGTTCTTTTTTTTGGGTGTTTTATTCTTATAACCACTAGAAAAGATTTATTCTGTTATCTTTTATTTTTTTAAGGTTAATGGTCGGATTAAATAGCATAAAGATTATGATTGCATTTATTATTTCCATTTTGGTGTCATATGTTCCAAAGGTATAAATATATAATCAGAATATTTTCTACAATTGAACTTTTGGGCTTTAATCATTTAGAAGGTAGCAATATGATAAATATCTAATATGACTTGATTCTCAAATGGTTTTGGATAACAAAAACCCCGATAAATAGACCTATAACGGTTTTTTTTTGCTATTTAAACAATTTAGAAAACCAAGTAAAGTTGAATCATTCCATTTCAAATAATAGTATAAATAAAAAAGTATTTTCTAAAAAGACTTAGTGTATACTCACCATAAGAGGCATATAACAAGTACTAAACACTATAGTTATGCCTACTAATTGTACTAACATCTGACATTCAGTGAATCGTTTAGAGTGACTAAAATATCTTCTTCTGCCGTTTCCTGCGGCGAGTAGATACTGGCGACGGCGACTTTTTATTAGAGTACACATCACAGTTAAATTACAACAAGCAGTCACAAAAATAATCACAGTTGCTAATATCGCAAATAAATAATTGAATGCCTTGTCAACCGGTTCTTTCGTATAATAGTCGAAAAAACACCACGTCTTAGGGTACTGAAGCACTACATTGCCAAAACCCATAAACGGTAGCGCGGCCATGAAAGCTGCTAAGGCCCAACAAAATATTAAAATCATTGTAGCATGTTTTGTAGATGACCTGGCATTGTATATAAGTGGATGTTTTATACAAACGACCCGTTCTATAGACATGCTACATACAATCAACATTGTGGCATACCCTGCCATGATCATCACATATCCGAAATAATTACACATAGCTGTTCCGCCCATCCATCGGAAATTATTCACATAAACAGCTATCACAACGGGTGATGTCAATGTTGTTCCTAATAAGTCTGTGACACAAAGACCAGCTACTAATCTGTAAAATATAGTCCTTTTTTGTTCTGGTCCGGATCGAATTAAAACAATAAGCGCTAAAATATTTCCAAAAACCCCTGCCCCAAACATTATTCCAGAATTAATAACCGTATTATTTTTCTTTGAAGAAAAGTCTGTTATATTGGGTAGAAAAGCTGACGTCTGCGGACTAGCACTTGTATTCCCCATGATAATCTGCAGTGACTGATTGTTACTACTCTCGTTCACAGATGTGTACTGCATACCGTTAACCGTATTAATTTATTTAAATCACTTCAGTAGCTCCAATGAGAATATATTACCATCAGTTCTAGGAGAAAGTGCCACCTCTCTTTTCACCTGAAATCGTAATTAAAGAAATTGTAATAAAATATTCAGTTTATTATTTAATTATTGTCAAGATAATACATAATTCACCGGACAACAATTACAGTTAATTCCTATCAAATAGAATTCCGACTGAAAACCTGTAAACCACACAACTGTGGTCCGTAATCTATAGATACGAAACCGATTTCACCTAGGAAAATCATTATTTCGCTTTGTTAATCTGTTGCGACAATTTAACTGGTAAGCAATCAACACTATACCTTAATTAACTATTGGATCAATACTGATTCTAATGATGTGGAAATAATGATAAAAAAACTGTTTGGTAAACAATCATTGTTTATTTCTATATTGTTCTGGTTATCTTTATTTAATGAAAAAAAAAAGAAAAAGAAAAAAATCAGTCGCAATGAATTTGACTGGATTGAGATAATCAATCAAATTAATAAGTGACCATATCGTGCATGTATATTTAATTATTTAAAAAAAAGAGTTCGTATTATATATTAAAGTTTTTATACATTCGCAGACACAAAGCTATACTATATGTATTAAGATTACTCAAATAAATCAGAAGATTAATCTTAATCTTGATTTACACAGTTTACACAGATCAGATCCCCTTGTAAGTGAATTTTACCAATTAATAAAGCCTAATATAAAGAACGTCAAAAAAGATAACAATGTCATTATTATCATAGTCAAATAAATATGTGTTAATTAAAATAACGTACGTACTATTTTGTACACCTCACAAGTACATGTGTTAACTATCTATCATTGTTAAATACATTCATACAAATAGAAATTTATATATGGCTGGTGTACCGTGAAATTTTGTTTCCGTATTTTTAAAGTATTGGGTTTTACCTTTTGTTTTTTATTCATTTTCAGAGGAAATGACATTATTATATTCGACAAGACTTCCTTTTGACCATTTCTTCGTTTCTGTCTATGCTCGCTGTGATAACTGGAGAGAAAAAGGGGGATGGCTTCAAAAGAAAATAGACACGACTTTCAATGGATTCATGCGATTAGTCAAAATGATTTTTACATCCTGTAACATATGCTTACGACCTCCACAATGTTGACAAAACAATAACAAAATGTTTTCTACAATAAAATCCTATGGAAATAAATCAGTGTGTGTCTCAACAAGGGATAATCTTATTAATGACGACTTACCTCTTCCATTAGGTAAGGTGGTCCAATATAAAGGAAGTATTTACGTTAAGTAAATCTTTAAAAAAAATCTTTAAAGATATAATCGATTGGTTGACTAAATAAAAGAATAAGTGCCCGCTTGGTTACGTAACTGAAATAATGGTACACCAGGAATATAAAGTAATTTGGTTAAAGAAAATAGTATAGCTACTATCGTTACTCATTGTTACGGTCTCGGGGCACGTGTCAAAATATTTTACATACCATCAAATATTTATTAAACTACAAAAGAAGGTATTTCATGGTTGCATTGAATGAAAAATCTTATATTTTTATATACCACTGAATATCAATAAAGAGTTTGATATTTACATCATTATTCACTAAATACATATTTACCAGGTAATATATCGACAATAACCACGCACATGTCAACTTGTTTAAATCAAAATCCATAAAATTAGTTTTAAGCATAGATTACCTCACCCATTCTCAAACATTGCATATACACTACAATAACCATATCTTTTTAACGAGTTCTTTTTTGCATAACTTGTAATGTGTTTCTCTACTTGGCCCAGCAGTTTAGCCATGCTGAAGGATTTGATACTTTCCCCTAGATATGAATTTGAAACGAATGACGAATGATGGGTTCAAAGCTGACACGCTTATCCTGTCCACACTCCTGGCCTCACTCTGATTTACCCTCTCTACATTTCTGATATTACTCTGATTAACCTTGTCCACACTCCTGGTCTCACTCTAATTTACACTGTCCACACTCCTGGTCTCTCTAATTTACACTGTCCACACTCCTGGTATCATTCTAATTTACACTGTCCACACTCCTGGTCTCACTCTAATTAACACTGTCCACACTCCTGGTCTCACTCTAATTTACACTGTCCATACTCCTGGTCTCACTCTAATTAACACTCTCTACATTTCTGATATTACTCTGATTAACCTTGTCCACACTCCTGGTGTCACTCTAATTTACACTGTCCACACTCCTGGCCTCACTCCTGGTCTCACTCTAATTTACACTGTCCAAACTCCTGGTCTCACTCTAATTAACACTCTCTACATTTCTGATATTACTCTGAATAACCTTGTCCACACTCCTGGTGTCACTCTAATTAACACTGTCCACACTCCTGGTCTCACTCTAATTAACACTGTCCATACTCCTGGTCTCATTCTAATTTACCCTCTCTACATTTCTGATATTACTCTGATTAACCTTGTCCACACTCCTGGTGTCACTCTAATTTACACTGTCCACACTCCTGGTCTCACTCTAATTAACACTGTCCACACTCCTGGTCTCACTCTAATTAACACTGTCCACACTCCTGGTCTCACTCTAATTTACACTGTCCATACTCCTGGTCTCACTCTAATTAACACTGTCCACACTCCTGGTTTCTCTCCAATTTACACTGTCCACACTCCTGGTCTCACTCTAATTTACACTGTCCACACTCCTGGTCTCACTCTAATTTACACTGTCCACACTGCTGGTGTCACTCTAATTTACACTGTCCACACTCCTGTTCTCTCCAATTTACACTGTCCACACTCCTGGTTTCACTCTAATTTACACTGTCCACACTCCTGGTCTCACTCTAATTTACACTGTCCACACTGCTGGTGTCACTCTAATTGACACTGTCCACACTCCTGGTCTCACTCTAATTAACACTGTCCACACTCCTGGTCTCACTCTAATTAACACTGTCCACACTCCTGGTCTCACTCTAATTGACACTGTCCATACTCCTGGTCTCACTCTAATTGACACTGTCCATACTCCTGGTCTCACTCTAATTGACACTGTCCATACTCCTGGTCGCACTCTAATTTACCCTCTCTACATTTCTGATATTACTCTGATTAACCTTATCCACACTCCTGGTTTCACTCTAATTAACACTGTCCACACTCCTGGTCTCACTCTAATTGACACTGTCCACACTCCTGGTCTCACTCTAATTAACACTGTCCACACTCCTGGTCTCACTCTAATTTACACTGTCCATACTCCTGGTCTCACTCTAATTAACACTGTCCACACTCCTGGTCTCACTCTAATTAACACTGTCCACACTCCTGGTCTCACTTTAATTTACACTGTCCACACTGCTGGTGTCACTCTAATTTACACTGTCCACACTCCTGGTCTCTCCAATTTACACTGTCCACACTCCTGGTGTCACTCTAATTTACACTGTCCACACTCCTGGTCTCACTCTAATTTACACTGTCCATACTCCTGGTCTCACTCTAATTAACACTGTCCATACTCCTGGTCTCACTCTAATTGACACTGTCCATACTCCTGGTCTCACTCTAATTTACCCTCTCTACATTTCTGATATTACTCTGATTAACCTTGTCCACACTCCTGGTTTCACTCTAATTAACACTGTCCACACTCCTGGTCTCACTCTAATTGACACTGTCCACACTCCTGGTCTCACTCTAATTAACACTGTCCACACTCCTGGTCTCACTCTAATTTACACTGTCCATACTCCTGGTCTCACTCTAATTAACACTGTCCACACTCCTGGTTTCTCTCCAACTTACACTGTCCACACTCCTGGTCTCACTCTAATTTACACTGTCCATACTCCTGGTCTCACTCTAATTAACACTGTCCACACTCCTGGTTTCTCTCCAATTTACACTGTCCACAATCCTGGTCTCACTCTAATTTACACTGTCCATACTCCTGGTCTCACTCTAATTTACTCTCTCTACATTTCTGATATACTCTGATTAACCTTGTCCACACTCCTGGTTTCACTCTAATTAACACTGTCCACACTCCTGGTCTCACTCTAATTGACACTGTCCACACTCCTGGTCTCACTCTAATTGACACTGTCCACACTCCTGGTCTCACTCTAATTTACACTGTCCATACTCCTGGTCTCACTCTAATTAACACTGTCCACACTCCTGGTTTCTCTCCAATTTACACTGTCCACACTCCTGGTCTCACTCTAATTTACACTGTCCACACTGCTGGTGTCACTCTAATTGACACTGTCCACACTCCTGGTCTCTCCAATTTACACTGTCCACACTCCTGGTTTCTCTCCAATTTACACTGTCCACACTCCTGGTCTCACTCTAATTGACACTGTCCACACTCCTGGTCTCACTCTAATTGACACTGTCCACACTACTGGTCTCACTCTAATTGACACTGTCCACACTCCTGGTCTCACTCTAATTTACACTGTCCATACTCCTGGTCTCACTCTAATTGACACTGTCCACACTCCTGGTCTCACTCTAATTTACACTGTCCATACTCCTGGTCTCACTCTAATTAACACTGTCCACACTCCTGGTTTCTCTCCAATTTACACTGTCCACACTCCTGGTCTCACTCTAATTTACACTGTCCACACTGCTGGTGTCACTCTAATTGACACTGTCCACACTCCTGGTCTCTCCAATTTACACTGTCCACACTCCTGGTTTCTCTCCAATTTACACTGTCCACACTCCTGGTCTCACTCTAATTGACACTGTCCACACTCCTGGTCTCACTCTAATTGACACTGTCCACACTACTGGTCTCACTCTAATTTACACTGTCCATACTCCTGGTCTCACTCTAATTAACACTGTCCACACTCCTGGTTTCTCTCCAATTTACACTGTCCACACTCCTGGTCTCACTCTAATTTACACTGTCCACACTGCTGGTGTCACTCTAATTTACACTGTCCACACTCCTGGTCTCTCCAATTTACACTGTCCACACTCCTGGTTTCTCTCCAATTTACACTGTCCACACTCCTGGTCTCACTCTAATTTACACTGTCCACACTGCTGGTGTCACTCTAATTTACACTGTCCACACTCCTGGTCTCTCCAATTTACAATGTCCACACTCCTGGTGTCACTCTAATTTACACTGTCCACACTCCTGGTCTCACTCTAATTTACACTGTCCATACTCCTGGTCTCACTCTAATTAACACTGTCCATACTCCTGGTCTCACTCTAATTGATACTGTCCACACTCCTGGTTTCTCTCCAACTTACACTGTCCACACTCCTGGTCTCACTCTAATTTACACTGTCCATACTCCTGGTCTCAATCTAATTAACACTGTCCACACTCCTGGTTTCTCTCCAATTTACACTGTCCACAGTCCTGGTCTCACTCTAATTTACACTGTCCATACTCATAGTCTCACTCTAATTTACTCTCTCTACATTTCTGATATACTCTGATTAACCTTGTCCACACTCCTGGTTTCACTCTAATTTACACTGTCCACACTCCTGGTCTCACTCTAATTAACACTGTCCACACTCCTGGTCTCACTCTAATTGACACTGTCCACACTCCTGGTCTCACTCTAATTGACACTGTCCACACTCCTGGTCTCACTCTAATTTACACTGTCCATACTCCTGGTCTCACTCTAATTAACACTGTCCACACTCCTGGTTTCTCTCCAATTTACAATGTCCACACTCCTGGTCTCACTCTAATTTACACTGTCCACACTGCTGGTGTCACTCTAATTTACACTGTCCACAATCCTGGTCTCTCCAATTTACACTGTCCACACTCCTGGTTTCTCTCCAATTTACACTGTCCACACTCCTGGTCTCACTTTAATTTACACTGTCCACACTGCTGATGTCACTCTAATTTACACTGTCCACACTCCTGATCTCTCCAATTTACACTGTCCACACTTCTGGTTTCTCTCCAATTTACACTGTCCACACTCCTTGTCTCACTCTAATTTACACTGTCCACACTGCTGGTGTCACTCTTATTTACACTGTCCACACTCCTGGTCTCTCCAATTTACACTGTCCACACTCCTGGTTTCACTCTAATTTACACTGTCCACACTCCTGGTCTCACTTTAATTAACACTGTCCACACTCCTGGTCTCACTCTAATTTACACTGTCCACACTCCT